GCAGGGAGTCTGCTTCTCCCTCTGACCCTCCTCCCTCTCGTGCTCTCTGTCTCTCATTCTCTCTTTCGCAAATAAATAAATAAAACCTTAAAAAAAAAAAAAGAAAATGGATATGAACATAGTCTTTGACTCTAATTGTATCCCTCCTTTGTTGTTGGTCACATTTCTCCTCGTTTTGCCAGTCACTACTAGAAGTAAAAGTCCACAAACCAAACACCACCAAATATTTAACCTGGTTCCAATCCCAGGCATTAATGATGAGACTTATATGGGTGGGAAGAAACAACAAAAATCATATTATAATACACACACACACTTTCTTAGCAACTAAATTTAAAAACTAATTTATTTCTGTCATTTTAGGGGTTTTAATCTCCAATAGGGTGCAGGAAGTGCTGTCACTCATTGGCTTGGACAGGTGACACAGAATCCTCTGTTGCACATGCATTATGGGGGCTGGACTTTTTCTGTTCCAAGCCTCCGCACATTGATACCTGGGTATTACTGCTTCTGGGTCCCAATGCTGAACTCCACCAGACCTGGATTTCTTGGGGCCCATGTCACATCGAGCCAGCCCTCCTCAGCACACTTTACAGATCTTTTAATCTACTCCTTTGTCCTCCTACTCTCCCTGGGTCCTCAGCCCTACTTCTGCACTTCTGTTTCCGTGCATAAATTTACCATTTTACTGAAATCGCAGAGACCACGGGGTGGAGGCTTCCCTCCCCTCTCTCTACTTCGTGTGAACTTCCCAGAGGAAAGTCTTTGCTAAGCTCAATCCCACTGCCCCATCTCTCAACCCAGTCTTATCACCTACTCTAAAATCTGGCTCCCTCTTTGTTTTATGACTTCTGATATATCTTCTCTCCTCCCTCCTTTTTTGAGACATGCCTAATAATTAAATATGGGGAAATATTTTCCACTGGCTGCTGTCACCTTTCTTAAGCTACTCAATCATATAAACTTCATCTACTAGCTCATCTCACATTCACCGCACAAATCCCCACAGTATTAGTTTCTCGGGGGCGCTGTAACAAGGTACCACAAATTGGGTGCGTTAAAACCACAGAAATTTATTCTCTCACAGTTCCAGAGGCTGGAAGTCTGAAATCAAGGTGTCATCCTCAGGGCCATGCTCTCTCCTGCTCCCGATGCTTGCCAATCATCCTCGGCATGCCTTGTCTTTGCTCTGCCTCCATCATCACGTGGTGGTGCCCTCTGGATCTGTTTTGTCTCCTCTTCTTATACAAGGAGACCAGTCATATTGGATTAAGGGCCCACTGTACTCCAGTATGAGATTATATCTATTAAAGACCCTATTTCCCAAATAAAATCATATTCACAGGTACCAGGGGTTGGGACTTCAACGTATCTTTCTGAGGCATACAATTTAACCCATAACAAACACATAGGCCGTACGTAGTCAACACCTCAATTTTTACATCTGATGGCCATCCAACAGTTTTCCTTACCCTTGTACCCATGCCAATGAAACTAAGCTCTCAAAGCTTGCCAATGGCTTCCGACATCTTGACATCAACATCTTCAGTAGCATTCTCTCACTTTTTTTAACCTTTCTGCAGCATTTGACAGTGTTGAGACCCACTGCTAGGAATTCTGTATTACAATTCACTCTTTTCTTCCCTCACTTCTCTTTTTCTAAAATCCTCAGTTTATTTATGTCCCTTGGCACTTTTTACTTCAAGTTTTGACCTTTCCTTTAATAAAGAGATCCACCCTTTCAGCTTTATCCTAGATCTAGGTTTCTAGCCATGACCTCCCTATACTGGATCTATCTATTCCATTTCAACATGTCAAAACTTGTTGATAATTTATCTTCCTAATACACTTGGCTCACTCTGTCTTTTCTTTTCTCCTACTATATAGCCGGTTCAGAATTGCAACACTTGTTGAATGGATAAAGAAGAGGTGGTACATATACACAACGGAATATTACTCAGCCATCAGAAAGAATGGAATCTTGCCATCTACAAGGACATGGATGGAACTAGAGGGTTAATTTATGCTGAGCAATATAAGTCAGTCAGAGAAAGACAAATACCATATGACTTCACTCATATGTGGAATTTATGAAACAAAACAGATGAACATCGGGGAAGGGAACAAAAAATAAAATAAGATGAAAACAGAGATGGAGGTAAACCATAAGAGACTCTTAACTCTAGGAAACAAACTGAGGGTTGCTGGAGGGGGTGGGGTGGGGGGAAGGGGTCACACTGGATGAAGGGCATTAAAGAGGGCACAGGATGGAATGAGCACTGGGTGTTATAGGCGACTGATGAGTCACTAAATTCTATCCCTGAAACTAATAATACACTATATGTTAACTATATTGAATTTAAATAAAAAATTTAAAAATAAAAGAATTTTAACATTTATTGTCATCTCTCTCTCAAAATATTTTTGCATTTATAGTTTAATTTTAAGAGAATTCATTTCTTCATAATGTTGAATATCCCCTCCCCCACAACATGATGAAACTCTGCTTATTTGGGTCACTTCTACAACCTTCAATAAACTATGTATGTTTTACTTTAATAGTATTCCATGTCTTTTGCCATAGCAAAGAATTTCCATTACTAACTTAATAGGATCTATTTTTAAATATATTTTCTACTTAATTTTTGTTTGTATACAGAAGCATTATTAACTTTGTATATTAATTTGAACTTTGCTGAACCCTTATTTATTCTAATAGGAAACTTTTAAAATTTTCTAAACAATAAATTCATCTGCAAAAAATGAGTTTGCGGTATGTTTTCTAACAATTCTAACAATTCTCTGAAGTTGAATTCCTGGCATAAAACCCACTTGTTCCTAATGTAGTCTCATCCTCTGACTGTTCTTTTTTATAGCATCCTGCTTCTTTTTATGGTACTGCATTAAATCTCTTGTAGTTCATATTTCCTTATACAGTCTCCCTATCTCCAAATTGCCTTTTGTCCTGTTTATTTGGTCATTAATTTTAAAAGCATATAGCTAAGCTACACTCAGATTCCCGACCTCCAGACACTGTGAGTTGATGAATGTTATATTTAAGATGCTAAGTTTTGGGGTGATTTGTTATACAGCAATAGATAACTAACACACCCATCTATTTCTCTGTATCTCCTAATATACTAGAAGCCCTTTAAAGTCAGGACTGTATTGTTTACCTTGTATCTGCAGCTCCTAACCTAGTGTTTGGGCTACTGCAAGAATTTAAAAACAAAAGACGTTGAACTGAATCACTGACTACTATGTGTGTGACCGAAGCCAGTCCAGTCTGGGGGGTGGCTTGCTATGCACTCCCAGGCTCCCTTTCCCAACACACACACACTCACACATCTTAGAATATAAAACTCCTGTGCCACAAAAAGTCAGTCTTCTAATTATGCACTCTTCACGGATTTATCTTTTCTAATCTAAATGACTCAATAGCTTTATTTTATTTTTTTAAAGATTTTATTTATTTGACAGAGAGAGACACAGCGAGAGGGGGAACATAAGCAGGGGGAGTGGGAGAGGGAGAAGCAGGCTTCCCGCAGAGCAGGGA